GACGAGGTTGCTCAAGCAAGGCGATAGCCCTTTGTGCTGTTTGTCGAAGTAGCCGAGAACGTAGGATGGTGTAGCCGTGGTCGAGGTAGCCGTGCGAGGGACGCCGTGATCGATGTCGAGTCGGGATGGCCAGTGCCGAGGCAGTCGCCGTGGACCGGGAAAAAGAGCGGTGGCGGCGGCGGCCTGAGGAGGAGGAGGAGGCGGCGGCTAGGAGCGCGGCGTCGGTGCTTGAAGTAAGCGAAGAAGAACCCGACAACGTGACGAAGACTGGCGCAGACGGTGGCGTTCCTGCGCCTAGGAAGACGGCGCGACGCATACCACACAGGAGTCGACGCGCGTGGACGGCGAAGTGGACCGCGTGCCGCGACGCTATGGCTTGAAGGGGCGACGGAGCGGCAGCGCACGGGTCGGGGCGACGACGGGGAAGACCTCAGGGCGGAGCCGCGGAGGAAGGGACCGTGTGCCACGCTCGCTACGGCCCGATGGGGAGACGTAGCGGCAACGCGAGGGCCGGTGCATCCACGGAGACGATCTAAAGTGGATAGGCCTCGAGGCGGCGGTGGACCTCGGGCCGCGACACTACAGCCCAATGAAGACCGCGTGCCATGCTTGCTACGGCGCGACGGGGAAATGCAGCGGCAGCGCGAGGGTCGGTGCATTCACGTGGATGGCCTGGAGCGGACGGTCTTGGGACGACGGTGACTGCGGGCCGCATCATTACGGTCCGAAGGGGCGACACATCGACAACGCGCGGGGCGATGTAGTGGCGGGAAGAACCATGGAGCGGCGACAGTGCGGTCCAAAGAAACGATGCAGTTGCAGCCCGTTGCTCGATTGACGGAGATATGCGGGTACTCGACGGAAATCTTCACAGGAATTTGCGGAGCTGCACGTGTACGGTCAATCAGACCCATTGATCAGATCAGACACACGTTGGGCAACCATGCAAATCTGTACACACGCGTTTATGCAGGGAGAACCAATGCACATGCATGCCACCAATCAAGCGTCAAGTGTAGCACGGTGCCATGCGGGATACATCAGTGACCATGCACCGCGTCAGGCCACTGCGGCGCCGGACAAGGGCCAGCGCTGCCGCCAACGCACGCGGACAGGACGAGGCACCCTCGGGTCAGCGCAAGCATACGCGAGTGGCCTCCGCGCTAGCACTAGCCGTTTGAAGAAGATGAAGACACCTGCGGAGTACGCGTCGTTGACGAAGGACTGCGGCGGACCACTCAAATCGATACTCGATCGGAAAACAAAAAAAAGAAAACGCCGATTAAACAAACGGCGAAAGAAAAAAAATTCAGATCAAAGCATCGTGAAAAAAAGACTCTCTAGAGCAGTCGGTCAACATGATCGGCGGACGAACCCTAGGAACGGGCGGCGCGGCTCCCGACGGTGGTCATGGAGGCCGACCGCCCCGGGGGCGGCACGCAGGTGCGGAAGCGGCAGGCGGCGGCTAGGGTTTGGATCGGTTAGGTTGATACCATGTTAGAAGGGAGATAAGGGTTTGGTGGAAATCATTGTTGTATTGCTTGAGCCTCGTGGGCGTATATATAGTAAGTACATGATTTGGTTGGAGTATAAAGACAAGGTAGGGATAAATCCTATACTTCCTAATAGTCACGATACTCAACATCCTCCGCAGTCATAACAGTAGCGACACAGACAGTGAAACTGGAGAAGAATCCGAAGACAAGCCGATGAACAGTCAAGAATTGTGGATTCTAGATATGTAGATGCAACGAACTGGGGAGCTAGCTAGAGAAAAGACAAGCAGCAATATCTAACGCTTAGTGCACTAGAATTAGTATGTGCCACCTCATAGTTCACCAATTCACTACCCTGTGATTTTATTTTGGCTACTAGCTAGTTCACAGTGACACTAGAAGCAGACGGCAGAAACTTGAGATTCATATGTGTTACATATAACAATACTAAAGCGAGAAGCTTCCTCTTTTTCTCCTTTTTTTAAAACTTTTTGTTGTCTACTGTACATTTTACTGTTGAGCCCAGTGCCACGTCCCCATCCAGTGAACGTCATCCCTCCTCGTGAACAGTAATCATATACGTAAAACAGTAACCAAGTTCAAACAGTAATCATGCATGAACAATAAATAGTTCTGAACAGTACATACTTTTGAACAGTAGCTTCAGGGGAAAGTATATACATATCAGTTAAAAAAATTACATATACACATACACATATACTAAGCCGGCAGTGGCCTGGTCTTCTTTTTTAATTTTATTTTTGTGCTGCTTAGATCCGAGAATTACGTAAAGGGTTAACCGGCAAGGTTTTGTTTTTGTTTTTGTTTTCCTTTTTTGGGATTTTTTATTAAAAGCCTCATGGTGATTTACACGCAATTGGTTGGTCTCAACCCAACACTCCAAGTCACGCTTTGTCGTATGTGTTTTTTTACAAATGGCGAAGTGGACTTTACCGTCAGCCCTGACAAAAAGCTAACGGCAAAGAGTTCCACATACGGCAAATTAGCTGATTCCCGTAGTGTGTATGTTTCCCAACAATATTTAAAGCATTAAAATATGCATCATGACACACACATACACTATAATTTAACATGAGTTTCATATAATAATGGGTGGCGTTATGAGATTCTATTTTTTATTTTTATTGTTTAAAGGGTTCCAACATATTTTTAACCGAAACAATAATGGAATTGTAATCCAGAGCAATACACGCGAATAAACCGGGACAATAAAAACTGTAAACCAACACTATGCATTCATGTGAACAGTAATCCAAAAGGAAAACCAAAAAATAAAAAAATAAACCTAATTTTATTTGAGACTCCTCCTTCCTCGACCTAGAACAGTAAAACCAGTGGAACGGAACAACAGCTGAGTACACCAGAAACATTAGCCCATCCAAACCATAAACCAAAAGAATACACGAATTGTAATCTAGCGCAATACACCCGAATAAACCGGGACAATAAAATCAATAAATCAGCATCATGCATTCAAGTGAACAGTAATCCAAAATAAATGTCAAGAAAAAAATCCCCCAAATAACTAAGACTCATTCTCCCTCGATGCGTTCACCTACGCAAGGAGAATAACCGGTGTTGTTGTTGTCGTCTACCTCGCCTTCTCCTTCCCTGTGGCCAACCAGATCAAGACTTTAACCACAATGCGATTATTGAAGCCACCTCTACGACGCGCCCCATCACAACAGTCTATAAGCAACCAACGACAAGGGGCAACATTAAACTAAAAACGGTCACTCGACCAACCTCTTCACTCCACTCCACTCCCAATTCTATTTCTTTGACCGATTCAAGGAAAAAGAAAAAAAATACAAGACAATAGATCATCCATGGAGGGTAGTGTTTGCTCAAAAAACTATTGTAGAACCAATTGTTCCTTAGCTGCCAAAATTTCCCGAAGTATGGATATACCACTTATCATATATCACAATTTGAAAAGCGCACTGGGTTGAACATCCTATTATCAGGCTAGATATTCATAGATAATGCGTTAAAATAAGCTTTCCGCCAATTACTATCCATTTTTACACCACGACAAATTTGGGGTTTAAACTACTTATAAAATTTGAAATTTGAATTTAATTAAGTATATCCATATTTGAGAAAGAATGAAAGAATGCCAACTAGGAACTAGATATGAAATGTAGGTGAAACAGATGCACAAACAGGACAAGAAATATTTCCCTACTATAGGGTCTACACATTGGTAGAAACCCCATTCGATCTCACTACTGATCAACACTAGTTGAGTATGAATTCAACTACATATTACTACCGGTCCCATCATTTTTTTACCTACAAAAGAGAAAATACGTTCTTATGAAAAAATATTAATAGACCAGACGGTTTACTTAATTCCTTAAATAATTTAATGTTTGTTACGTACCTAGGTAGATCATGGGTAAAGCTAGAATTAATATTCTTCTTTTTTATTTATTTTCTGGCATGATACATGTTGTTTTCTTGCTTATTTTCATAAAACTAGATGACCCGTTGCGCCCATGGCGCAAAAAGCCAGTTAGAACCGTGCATTATGTGACTATTGCAGGGCACCTTAAGGAAGAGAGAAATATAGGCTTATCTATCTTCGCTGATACTTATAGTAGTTCAAATGGACGGTCTATAATATCTATACTAAGAGGTAATCCATAAGGAAAGACAAACCAATGTGGAGATAGCATAGGAGTATTATAAACATGAAGTCCTGTACACAAGCTGTATATAGGTTACACTGAAGGTTTATGATGGTGTCCTCATTTGGAGTGAATGGTTAGAGGCGGAGGTGCTTTGCCTTGCGCCTAAAGGTGAAGGCATACATCGTTCCTTCATCTATGTTTGCTA